TTGTCGCTCTGGGCTCCCCACTGGCCCAGCTGAGACGTTCTCAGAATTCTCCTTGGTCTAAGGCTCCCCTCTTCCTACCCCGTCCTCCCTCTGTCTCTTTTCTTAGGGGTCTGACCTGCAATGCCCTCTGCAGGCTCTTCCTGCCTACTCTTGTTCCCTCCCCCTTTATCCTTTATAGGTGTCTAATTTCAGCTTGTATCTACTTCCCTGAGGACCTGAAATGACATGCTTAGCCATCAAGCTTAGCTCAAGCTTCACTTCTTGAAGAATGGGGGACCTGCCTTTCTCCATGCTCCATGCCTTCTCTGGGCTCCCAGACCACCTTGTGACCACCTCAACCAGAGCCCGACTATTCGGTTATACTCATCAATTTTCTGACTCTCACCTAGTAACTGAGTTTCTTAAGGAGAAGAAATTTTTCTATTAATCTCTGAATTCAGTTTGTGATAAAATACCAGGTGTATAGTAGGCACTTAAGGTTTGTTGAATGATTGAATGAATAGTGTAGGAAGCCGAGCCAGAAAACCTATGAATGTGAAGCTAGGAGACTGTAAACACAGGAGAAATTTTTCAGAACCAAGAAAAGAAAAAGAAAAGGATTTAAAGGGCAATTTCCATATTGTTCATGGATTTCAAAAGCCTGAATCCTGTGGTCTGACCATAATCCTAAAGTTTTATGAACCAAAATGCATACAACTCAGTCTATTGCCAATCATTTTCTTCTTTAAATGAAGGTATACCTCTTATTTTAGAATGAAAGTTGTTGAGAAAATAGGATCTGCTTTAGAGTAATTTGGTACCAAATTCTCTTGGAAGTCATAAGACCACCAGTTCAATCAAAGATTGCTTGATTTCAGAAAACTGGAGCCCCTAGAGCTAGCTAAAATAAAGGGGTTTTAAGTAAGGAAGCTGGGATAGTTCAGAAGCTCCAGGGCATGTAATACAGGCAGGTCTGAGGAGAAATGGTAGCTAAGAGCTTGAAGGTTAGGAGCTGGGTCAGAGCCTCCTAGCCCACCAGGCCACAGGCTCCTGTCCACACTTCTGCATGACAATCCCTCCTTCTGCATGAGATCAGCTGTTTATCACTTCTTAGAACAAGCATCTGACTGAGGAGACCAACTAAACTCCTTGGGTCCCAATCCCAAAGTGTTGAGAAGGGGCTTACTTTGGGCCAACTGTTTAGGCCTCCTGGCCCTTGGTTTATGGCCAGAGGGTGTGGTCCCAAAGCCATAAGCAGGGCTTGTGGGAGGCCACTGAGAGAAAAGGGGTAGGCTGATGTGGACCACACCCACCACCGCTCATCCCTTGATTTGTAGTCATGGACCAGCCTGCAGGAGTAGAAAGGCCCTGAACTCCTCTATTCCTCATTTTCCTCATCTCAGGGATATAGGGTGTGGAGGGCTTAAGGTTTGAACATTATTTTCCTCTAGAGCCTGTAAGTTCCATCACTACGCCACACCCTCTCTCTGGACTCTTTAAAGTACTTTCAGCAGCACGTTCTCCCTCTCGTTTAGCAAAGCCATGAGCTCTTTAAAAAATACTACATTTAGCATTTTAAGGCAAATTTTTCTGTAATTCCTTCCTAATAACAAAAATCATTCAAAGCCATTTTACTTTCAGAAAGGAAATATCTATGCATGCACTTAGATCATTTAAGCCAAATGCCTTTTTAACAACATTTCTCAATTAAATATTCAGCAGAAATGATATGAAGTATGAGGCATTTCATCCAGTTAAAAAAAAAATCTGAGGTGAAAGAATACATAATGTGGAATATCTGAAATTGGAAATAAACTACCACAGCATCTGATGCTTGTCCAAAAGGGCAGAACCACAGGTCAAAACCACCTCTCTCTGGATTTGCTGGCATTTAACTAGATGCAAAATGTCAACACAGAAAATGGCTAGTTCAATGCAAATATTAACAAGAGAGGAGTGTGTCAGTGTGTAAATGGAGCTTCTGCCAACCAAGGCTTTCCTGATGCACGCCCCCACCCCCACCCCCAGTCACTCCCAGGCAACAAGGGAACTTTCTTTTTGCTTATTTTCACCCTCTTTGCTGGAGGTAAAGCTGCAGGGCATTTATTTCATGGGAGAAAGGGAAGGCTGATGCAGAAACCACTAAGTGAGATGGTTTTGTTTGCCTGTAGTGAGGTCAGTTCATTCTGTTCTATCTTATCCTTGATTAGGCTACACCATTCTATTTCATTCCATTCCGTTCCATCTATCCTATCCTATCCCATCCCATTGTACTGTTTCTTCTATACATATTCAGAGGAGACTGGCACTTAGCAACATTAATTTTATCAAGACCAGGAAGAAGGCAGAGAGTAAGAAAAGATTTCCCCCCACCTTTACTGCATTAAGGAGGTTTTAGTGGTAGCTCCAAGCTGCCCATTAGCGTTCTGTCCTTACTCTCCTCTGCACAGAATAGTTTCAGAAAAATCTTCCTACTGGTGCCCTCCCCAACTCACTGCATTTGCATCCTTGCTCTGAAAAGGGCAGCTCACATATAGGTGTGATTGGGTGATAGGTGGAACTCTCAGTACTGCTCTTTCAAGTGATAAGGGCCTCAATGCAACGGACAGGAAGGAGTGATGTTTGCCTGCTCTCCTCTGAGGTGATGTTTTGGTGAATCCACTGCTGGCGGCAATCAGACCCTCAGCCTGGCAACCTCAGGAACCGGATGCTCTCGGCCCCCTGAGACTGGATTGGCTTGCTCCTCCAGCTCAACAGAGACTTAAATCGACAAAACAGGATGACTAATCAGACTAATGCAGAGTGATGCCAAACATCCCCGCCAGCCTGACGATTACATTCTCTGCTTATGAGCAAATGATCTGGGCAGCCACATTAGCTGATGGTGGCTTGGTGTTTAGAATGAAGTCTGGCTTAATTGGAGCATTAAAGGAATTGTTGAAGCAATATTAGATGTTTCATCCACCAAGTTGCCAGGAAAGCTGTGAAACTAGCCTTGGAAAGCAGGTAGATCAGAGGGCGGCTGTGGAACCAGACCCCAGCCAGCCAGAGCACCAGCCTGTACTGCCAACAGATGACAGACACTTGACTCCTTTGATTGCTGGTGTCTGCTGGAAACTAAATTTGCAACTACCCTGGCTGCTGCCAGAAAGAATTTCCCACTGTCGTTGGCTCCAGATTCAAATCTATGGCAGGTATACCTGACTACCTGAGCCTTAGTGCACCTGAGTTCTCCACTGGAAATGTTGGACAGACAAGTGTCTGAGTTTGGGTTTCCTCAGGGGAAATCCTGAGATAAGAATTGGAGTGTAAGTAGTTTACCTGGGAAGTAATTCCAGGAAACACAGTAAGGAAGTGAGGTACTGAGATAGGAAAAGGAAAAAACTGATAAAGGGCATGTCATGGAGAAGGTTATTATTGTGGGCAACTGGAGCTCATTCTCCTCCTTGGGGACCTCTGGGAGGCAGTATAGACCCTCTTGGAGTTCTCCCACCTAAGAAATGAGGAAAGTAGAGTTTTGATCCACCAATTCCCATCTGTCATTGGTTAAAGGTGGCCTTAATTCTGGGGGTAATTAATTCCATGACACTGATATGCCCATCCAGCCTGCCCTGCATGGAGCATCACATGTGCTTACTTTGACACGTACAGGAGTGTTCAGTTCTGAGTGCTTATGTTGTGTATATGTGTTACAACTGTCTGCTATAGTAAGTACCATGCAGTCTTAGCTGCTTGAGTGACAGGGGGATCTACTTTCTACTTATATTCAAAGAAAGTGTGTTCAGCCATGGCTGGTTTGGCTCAGCAGTTAGAATGTTGGACCACAGACCAAAGAGTCTTGGGTTTGATTCTAGTCAAGGACGTGTACCTCAGTTGCAGTTCAGTCCCGGCCTTGGTCGGGGTCATGCGGGAGGCAACTACATTTCTCTATCTATCTATCTATCTATCTATCTATCTATCTATCTATCTATCTCTTTCCCTAACACTCTATTTGAAGATAAATGGAAAAATATCCTCAGGTGAGGATTTTAAAAAAAGAAAGAAAGAAAAGGTGTTCAGATAGCAGGCAACCAAAAATAAGAAAACATTTTCTACTTAATCTGCCAAACTCTTCTTCCCCATCTTCCTCTGTTAACTTTCATTCCCCCCAAACTGGTGGTTTTCAGGGTAGTGAACAGTTTTTTACATGGTCTATGGAGTCTGCTAATTGGTCTAGAGTAGCACCTGACCCAAAATATGGCAAATCAGAGCTCTTCCTTGGAGTTTTCTAAATTACAAAGGAATAGGTTTTTCTCTATCAGACTGGGATTTCAGACACAAAATTTAAGCTGTAAATGGGCACATAAGAGAGAATAACATGCACATGGAGAGTCAGAGATTTGAGGGAAGGAAAGCTTCTTGGTGGCATTCATGTCTCTGGTGTGGAGACCAAATAGTTTCCATTTTTCCTACCTCTCAACTTTCCTGGGATTCTGTGATCCAGCACACTGTCCTTTTTACCTTGAGTTTACAACCAAAAGAATCCTGATTAATATGAAGAGCAGAGAAAGAGAAGAAGGGAGTGGGATGATTACTGCAAGCTGGGCTCCCTGGGAAGCAGATCTCAAGAAGAGTTGGCATGGACCAGGAGTTTATGAAGGAAAGCTCTTGTAGTGAATGCCAGAGTGGGAGTGAGGGAAGTTGGACTGGACAGAGCAAGATCCCCGGCTGCCATGCCCACACTGAGAGGCTTCAGCCAATCCCTTGGGGGTTTTGGAGCTGAGAGCACCTTTCAGCGGTGTCCCAAGTTGGGGCGAGGGTCCTAGGTCTATGTACCCTCGTATTTTCAGTGGTTGGATGCAGGCTGCCCTGGGAAGTCAGCCGACCTGGGAAGAGGCAGCTCTCTGCAGCTAAGGCAATTCCTGCAGGATAAACAGCTGAGGTATTCGTGCCAGCAGATATGGAAGTCAGTCCTATGGTCCCTAAGGGGAACCTGGGTGGCACATCACTGCATTCACTACAGTGACCTTTTTTTTTTTTAATGGGGGAGAGCATGAAGCAGTCCCCCACTACCACTAACTGTGCAGTCGAGTTTCCAACATTTGGGGAAATCGCAGGGGTCAGCACATCCAGAGTGCACTGGATAAGCTTCCCCCTGGGAAAACTGCCTTTGTAATCATGGTATCTCCCCTCCAGTGACCTTAAAGAACATCGCTCAGATAAGCTTGAAGGAGGACACTCTCTCTCATCAGAGAAGCCTAGCTAGACATGACCATTTCCTGAAGGCTCTATGTTTATTACTTGGCAAGCAACATTCTCATTTATCCCTTTCTGAGACTGGAACTGCATCCTTATTTTACAGATGACGAAACTGGAGTTCAGAGAGTCCAGAACCAGCTAAAAATCACAGAACTAATAAATGATTAAGCCGACATTAAAGTACACCTCCCAAGTCTGGAGCTGGGGCTTAGCCTCTCGGTCAGGGCTGGGACCAAAGTGCAGCAAGGGAAGCACACAAGATGCACTCAAGTGTCAAGTACCTACCCTGAACTTCCATGGCCCTGACAGTGAGCGCCCCCTTAAATTTGTGTCCTGGTTGCTTCATCTGCCTCACCAGAGTCCCAGAACCCTGCTCTTGGCTATTGTGCAGAAGAAACCACAAGTTCAAGGACCCTGAGCCAAGACTTCTCCCCTGGAGTTTCTCAATGGACCCGAACAGCCCCTGCTGGTGTCACTGTCATTTTTTTCCAGAAGTCTCCATGGCTAATCAACCTCTTTTTATGTTAGCTTTTTCAAAACGGAGCTTAGAACAAGTGATTAGAGTTATTAATTTAGCATTTCTTAATTTCCAATCATATTCCAGGGCTACCTCCTAGGACATGCCCCTATTCACCTTAGTTTGGCATTTTGGAGCTCATTCACTCCGTCAGTCCATCACAGTACCTGGCCAGACTTCACACTATAGAAATGAATCACACCCAATCTGTGTACATTATACCTGCTTAACTGTGGGGGTAGCTCTGTAACCTCTATTTGGCAGAGTGGAAGGGCTTCATAATGGCCTCCATATATGGACAGCCCCTGATAGTCACTTGTCTGCTTATAAAGAATTCTCAAACCTCTCTGACACCCTCAGCACACTGCATTGTAACTGTCATTGGCCTGCCTCTCTCTGTTCCAGGCTGGGATCCTACAGAACCAGTGGTATATTGCAGCCCCACCCCACCCAAGGGTGCCCAATATATATTTCTTGGATGAAGATTAACTGACCCTCTCTAGAGCTTAGCTCAGGTGAATCCACTGCCCTAGCTGGAGTAAAAATCATGCCAGGCCTCCATCTGTTTTTAAATGATAGAAGGGCATTCCTACTCTTTGGGGAGAAACTGCAGGGATTTAATGAAATGTTTCTGCAGTTGAGGCTACGGATGATCTGTTGACATGGTCTAAAGGGCTGTAGGTTGTTTAATGTCTTTCTGTACCATCAATTCTGTACTTTGTACCGACTCAGCAAATTGGTACGAATTTAGGCTTCTGACAAGGACTTTGGAAATAGTGTGCTTGTGCAGGTTTAAGAAAGGAAAAAACTTGAAAGCAGTCCTAACAAAATCTGTGGTCATAACCTTGGCAATCCAGTGATTCCAAGGACTTGGCCTTGGGTGGGCTACAACAGCATGTACGGGTTTCTTGCCTCTGGTACCCCTGCTCAAGGCCCAACCTTGCCTCAAAGTGCCATCCTGTAGACTCATGACTCTCACCAGCCTCATCACCTGTATTTCTTCTTGCATTAAGAAATTTCCAAAACACACTGTCTCAGGGAAGCCTTCCAACCCTGTAGGCCATTGTTGCTTATCTGCCTCAGGCTGATGCAGTGGGGTCAAGCAGGCTTTGGAATTAGAAGACTTGAGTATGACTCTGGCTTCACCTTTTACTGACAGTGACTCGGCATTTTCCAAAGAAGGTTCCATTGAATGCTAGGATTTCATGACATATTAAATAGGAAAAGTGTATCAGTTACCTATTGCCACTGATAACAATGCTGTGTAACAAGCAAACCCCAAACTCAGTGGCGTACAATGATTACCATTTATTTTTCACTCATGCATCTGAAGGTTGGCTGGGGCAGCTCTGCTCCATGTATCTCATTCTGGGGTCCAGTATAGAGGGACAGCGTCCACTTGAGCCATGTTCTTCTCATGGAGAATGAAAAAGCACAAAAGGCATATGAAAACATGTGATATTTCTTAAAGCTTAGGCTTGACACTGGCCTCATTCCATTGGCCAGAGCAAGTCATATGACCAAGCCTTTCATCAATGAGACAAAAGTATACTCTTTCCATGAAGGTTTAGATGGGAAGATACATTTTTGTTGTAAAAAAATTTAATGTGCTACAAATTACATGGGGAAAATGTTCTATGGCCAAGTCCCCTAACCTCTCTGAGCTGCCCTAACAGGAATGATGATATCTGCCTTGGAAGACGGTCTTGTGATCCTGTGAGATAGTGTGCAGCATGATAGCACAAGGCTGGGTGAACATAGATGTCCAGTCACTCATGAGTGAGTTCAGTCCATCTAAAGCCCCAATTAGTCAGAAATAGGGCTCCTTAGCATGGGTCAGACCAGACTCCAGCCACTGGGGATTTGTTCACTGGACTAGGCAGACACTGGGTAGTAGAATCGGCTATAAAAAAAAAAAAGAGGATACAAAGGTCCCCTGAACTCTTATGGTGGTGATACACAGTGGAAGACTCACAGATGTGGCGGGGTGGGTATGAGGTTTTGTGCTAGCAAGTTTTGAGAGACTCTAGGCTGAGCTGGTACGGCTACAGATGGTCAATGGTGTTTCAGGGAAGGCTCCAGTGGGATGCCAGCCTTGACTGACCTGTGATCCAGGCCCTGAGGAAAGGCTAGGCCTTCAGGTCAGAAATCAGAGCCCCACTTAGATTGCAGAGGGCTATGAGGGCAGGAACTATAGATATCATTATACCCCTGGCCCAGAGCCTGATCTGGTTTAATTCAGAACCCTGCCTTTCTCACACACACCCTCCAGAAGTTTGTCATTTTTTTTTTTTTTTTTTGCTTCTGTCTCACCCCCACCCAAGCCAGTGAGAGGCATGGTCTTCTTTGTCTTCATCTTTGCAAAGCAAGACCCTCCCTTCCTGTGGCCTCCACAAACAATGAAACACCAAAGTCATTAGCATAAGGACACAGAGACAGGAACTAAGTTCACAGAAGATTTTCATTCTGTTCAGGTATGAGTAGGAAATTCTCCGTGGAATGGCTTGCTTCTCCTAAGTTACACATGTGGTTTTTATTTCTCTGGAAGAAAAGACTCCAGGTGCTGTTCAAAATCTCACCCCCACCCCTGCCTTGGCAGACTCCCAAATGCCCAGGTCTGTATAAGTTCCATTGCTAGGGCGGAGAGCTTCCAGCATCTTCCACCGCCACCCCAACAAACAAGAGAGACTGTTCTATACACTGGTTTTTCTTCATCAAAAATGCTCAGATTTTTCTCTTCTATGTCTCAGGGTTGTGTCTCTTCTGTTTGCCTGTGGCTCTGATGAACAGTATTTGAATAATATTTTGGGGTTTCTTCCCCTTGTAATTTAAGGACCCCCATCCTAAAATCCCAGGAAATGTATCCCAGATGTCTATAGGGCTGTGCCCTGGGTCCCAGGGTCTCTGAGCTACAAAGACAGCACATCACTTGGTTAGGGTTTTTGTTGTTGTTGTTGTGTTTTGCTTTTAAATTTTTCAAAGAAAACAGATACCTCATCTTTTTCCTTTGGGAAAATATCTTGGGAGGGAAATGAAATCCTGGGAATATGCAAATGTATCTTGAAAATGAAAGCATCTCATTGTGGAAAGAAAAATTATAATAGTGAGATCACCCTCAAAGTATCTATTTGAAGAAAATTGTGTTTGAATGAAAAAGCAAGATATCTGGGCAGTTTGGATCATTCAATGATGAGGGAGCAATAGCCTGTTATTTTATGGTTGCATAAAGGTTCTTATGACCACGGCATCTGCAGCAAGATGGCTGTGCCTCAGTTTTCTCCTCTATCAAATGTGGATACTAATATACCCACTTCATGGGGTTGTTATGACAATTAAATGAGGCAAGTGTCATACAGCTGTTGCTCCAGTGCCTGGTACATAGTAAGCGCTGTGTTTGTGAAATAAAACTTCAGGAAGTGGGCTACCCTGAAAACATAACATGTGCCAACACCCAGGACATACTGGAAACACAGAAAGCACTCATCTTTCTTGTCATTGGTTTGTCCTCACTGACCTTACTCCCCCTTTTCTCCATGACCTTACCTCCACATTAATGCTCTAACATACTATTCCACTTCCTTCTCTTAAAAGGGAAAATGAAAAAAGAAACACAATTCTAGTAAAAGCAGCAGGAGGACTTGCATTTTAATAGCAGATAAACTATAAAGTCAAAGGAATGAATCTGTAATTGTAGAATTTGCGGTTGCTAGTAAGGGGACTGCTTGGTGAGGCAGAGGTGGCAGAGCTGGGCAGAACAGGAGGGGAGGACAGAGGATGAAACTGAAATCCTTCTATGCAGGCAGCTGCTACTGGACCTGCCAGAAATGCCAGCACCTAGCATGCAACGAAACATGCTTCCTCTGAGGTCACTCTCGCTCCAAATGGAAACCCACACATGCCCTGGACTGGTTCTTCCAATTATGAAAAAGGCCCTCAAACATCCCCCAATTGGCATACCACAAAAGCCGCATTCCCGCAATAATGATGATGATAATAGCATTGGTAATAGTCGCGATGCAGCTTCTACTTAGTCTCGTGCATCTTCAGAGCCTCCTGGGGTTTGGTGGTGTGCTAAGAATAGTCTTAGTACCAGCATTTGAGAACAATCAGCTGACCAATGTGAACCCCACAAAGTGGGATCCTGTTGGCCCAATGGACGGACCGTGGTGACAGCCAGGTGTGAGGGAAGGAATAGAGGTCTGCCGAATGTACTGAGTCCATGAGGAGACTTGGCTGTGGGCTCAGGGCAGAGAAACACCGGAACCAGGACGAGGGAGAGACTCTTCTAAACTGTGGCACTCAGATCAACCCTGCTGTCAAATTTCACCTGTGCCCTGGCTCCTATGAGGAGCTTCCTCATTGACTTTACCACCCAGAGCAGAGAGAGTCAGCCACATGATCAGTGACTGGTGTCCAAAAGATG